GTCCTGTACCCTGGTTCTTTTATGCATGAATAAATAAATCTTAAAAAAAAATAAAACACGGAGAAAGAAGACCAAAGAAAAGGGCAGAAATGAACTGAGGAGAAAGCTGGCCACATAGCCTTGGGCAAAATATGAAAATTCATGCATCTGATGCAGCATTTCCCAGACCATGAGATTTGTGGTCAGATAAATTTGGGGGGGGGGAACCCCACTGTATCCTACAGCTAACTAACATGTTTTGTAATTTATCATGTAAAATACCTTAATAAGAAACTCTTGAGAAATGGTGCAATAAAGAAGCCCATTGAATTCATAAATTTATCTCTAAAAAGACCCTTTTCTTCCACACACTGCAACCCCATTCTAGCAACATCCTGAAGGGCTGAGTTCTACACAATACATTTATCATATGCTGCTCTATGCAGCAAGGGAATCTACTGGCCACAAGAAAAGCATTTCCATATAGGAGGAAGCATGAAGGCAGGAAAAAGCCAACCTAGGCTAGGTGTCAGGAGAGCTGACATCAGCGGCTGACACGTTCCAATTCTGCAGATCTATGAAGAAAAAATCGCTATGTGCAACTTAGATTGCTGAAAATCCAAAATCAGAGAGAATTCAAATGGCAGTGAGGCTTAGAATTCTGGGGCTTTTTGCTAAGAAGATTAATTACTTGTCCAAGTTACTTAACCTTTTCAGACTTCAGTTTACTCATTTATGAAATAAGGGACTTAGACATCAATGTCTTTGTGCTCCTGGCAAACTTTAAAACCTTATGTATCCAAGAGTTCTGATAACCCAAAATAATCCTTTCAAATGGTACCAGGTGATTCTCTTCCTACCTGTCAAAAAAGTCAAACGACATTGACTCAAACTCAGCACTTGAGGGGACCAAATTATTTTCTTCCACTTGGACATCTGAACACACACTGTAAACCATTTTTCTGTTGCCTTGACATAAGAGGTAAAGCAAAATCAGAGTGTGTGGGCCTCCCTGGTGGTGCAGGGGTAAAAGTCTCAGCGCTATCAAGCTATCCCCAGCCACTGCGGCACGAGTTTGATCCCCGGACAGGGAGGTGACCCACACGGCGCAGCAGACTCTCCTGTCTCGCCCACTGTTCCCCTCAGCAGTGTATTTCAGTCAGTCTGCCTGTTCTGCTCCCCATTCTGTCTCTGGTGAATCCTCTCACCCCCCATACCTCTGGCCTACACCCCAGTTCTTGTATGCATAAATCTTTTTTAAAAATCCCAATTCTGACAGTCCTGGTCTCTAGCAGCTTTCCTTAAGTTAGGACGTGTCTCAGTGGAGCACAGCACTGGATAGAGGCAAGGAAGTCCAAAGCTACAGAGCTAGGGACCAACACATAGTACCTACGTGGGGGCAACAAAACTGAGGGCACAAAGTCAACCCATTTAGCCTACCTGGGAGTCAGTAATGAGGCTCTGCCCTGGATGGAAGACCCCAGGCTCCATGAGAGAAACCTTTAGCTAGAAGCTTCTCTTACTGCTCCTGCTGGGGCAGGAGCCAACTTCCAAGAGTGCCAGGAGGAGAGCTGCAGGGGGGAGCCCAATCTCCTCATGAGGGAGATGGTAATGAGTTAGCTTGGCTGGAAGAGAGCATGGAAGCTGGTGAAGGTCATATCCTCACAGGACGCCTTTCATTGACAGTGGTCACATGAAGAGATGGTGCTGAATATTACTCATAAATTATTTGGTAAGTTTCGCAACAAAAATAAGTCCTCATAGACCACTTATGCCCTGCCTCTCCCCACAGAAATACTTAATTCTGACAGGTTGTGAAATACCTGTCAAATCACATTATCGAGAGTGGTCTCCACTGAAATAGAGAAATAATCCCAGATATTCTGACCATGTACTTGGTGCCTGGAGTTCAAATTGTTCAGGTTCCCTATTTCTCTTGCACTATTCTTTTTTTTTTTTTAAGATTTATTTTTAGGGCCTCCCTGGTGGTGCAAGGGGTTAAGATGCAACCTATGAAGCTCGCCACAGCCACTGCAGCAAGAGTTCGATCCCCGGGCAGGGAGCTACCCACATGGCACAGCAGACCTCTCCTGACTCACCCGCTGCTCCCCTCAGCAGTGTATTTCAGTAAATCTGCCTGTTCTGTTCCCTACTCTGTCTCTACTGAATCCTCTCACGACCCACACCTCTGGCCTACACCCTTTCTTGGATGCATAAATAAATATAAATCTTTTATTAAAAAAGATTTATTTTTAACTTTATGCATCCAAGAACTGGGGTATCGGCCAGAGGCAGGGGGTGAGGGGGACACTGAGAGGATTCACGAGAGAGTGGGGAGCAGAACAGGCAGATCTGAAATACACTGCTGAGGGGAGCAGCAGGCGAGACAGGAGAGATCTGCTGCGCCATGTTGGTAGCTCCCTGGCCGGGGATCAAACTCATGCTGCAATGACTGGCAATAGCTTGATAGTGCTGTGTGGCTGCAGTGGCTGCCAATAGCTTCATTGTGCTGAGACTTAACCCCTTGCTCCATCAGGGAGGCCCATCCTACATTGTTCTATGAGGTTATAAGAGGTCGGTGTTGCTGACTTCTGTTACCATACAGTTTCCAATCAATGACACCGAGCTACCATGTGAAATCTTGCCGTCTCTCTTGGTCTCTGCCCAGCAGGCATAGGATAGGTTCACTATCGATTTGGACAGAAGTATAAAGAGAGTCCCAGAGCCCTGGGTGGATTTTTCAGGCTTTAATGCTCTCTCGGGGAACCAGGTACACAGACACACCAGGCAGGGAGGCTGGCATGCAAGAAGGCAGGCACAGGCCGGGTGGGGGAGCTGGGATGCAAGAGGCAACCAAGCATCCTAGCCCTCCACGTATCTCTGCACTCTTTCTCTGGGCTCTTTGACGTTCTCTCTCCCACGTTGCTTCATGGTCTCACCTCTTCTGCAGTCGCAGGCTTGTCCTCTCATAGCTGCCACTGCCTTTAACCAGCCTCTAGGCTCAGGTGTGCACTCTTGCACATACATGCACACCCATGTTCTAGGCATCCACAATCAGGCACGTGTGCCCAGCACCCATGCTCCCAAGAGCCTTCAGCATCAGCACAATCAAGACCGCAGGTGATAGCCTCAGAGGCTACTGGTGTAAAAATCCTGATTGATTCATTTACTCTACATTTACCTTGAATGTTTTGTCTCTGGTCCCTTGGCAAGTGTGCAGGAGCCAAGCCAGCTGGGGTGTTGAAGATGGGGAATTTGAGGGCCCAGTAGTACTCAGTGCCAAGGCATCCAATGAAGACTGGCTCCCTGGGCCTGTGGTGGGTGCAGAGCATTCAGAGGTGTCCCTCGCACAGAAGGAGACGGGACACCTCCAACGACATCTCTGAATTAGGGAAATATTTATTATGCCAATTTGATGTCTCCTCCCATAAAATCTGTGGTTGCCGTGGTGATGGGATATTATAAAATATTTCATGGTGGATATATACAAATGAACAATGATGTAAAATACATTTAAATAAATAAATTATATTAATAAATAAAATATTTTACTGTGGGAAATACTGACTTCAACAGGCTTTGTTCAAAAAGGGTACTTTTGACCTGGTCAGATATTAACCAAGTTACTACTGTGTGTTTCGAGAGATATTATCTGTAAAATATTCTCACTGCTCTGTCAGTGTGTCTTCATGAGAAGGTCCCAGAATCCTGATTGGCTTCAGCTCCTGAGAAGTTGATCCTGGTATTGGTTCACACAGAGAATGAATGCAAACTTGAATATAACTTCACTTTTCATTTGCTTTAGATGAAGCAACCAGTATTTAGGACAGAAAACAGCCTGGAATTCCAGGGTGACATTAGATCTTCCAATATGGCTTCTCAGTTGAGGCCATAGGGCGGTGAGTTACCTTTGCATAATACTTAGCATTCCTTGCTGCATTCTTTGATTTTCACGTTCATCTCCACGCCAGATTATCAGCACCTCAAGAGCATCTTTCTATTCCTATTGCTTTTCACGTTGCTTAACATTGTGTGAGCATAGAGGAAATATTTATTGAATAAATGCTTGCCAAAATCTTTTTATATTTTAAATTGCTTAACTTCCTGTTGAAGTGTAGTTGAGTGAGCTCCACTTGGCCAATATTTCTACAGAAAACAATTATAAACTCTTGGACACACACACACACACACACACACACACCCAAGAAACTTCCCCAGCCACAGGAATTCACTGGCCAAATCTACCAAAAGAATAAGAAATAAGATAAAAGCCACACAAATTCTTTTATTTCCCAGTTCAGCATGCAAGTCCAGCACCACCCTAATGCCAAAACCTAACAAAGACATTACCAAAATCAACTAATCAAAAGCATTTGATAGCCTCATTTGCTTCACTTGCACAGCTTGCAGCTACCAAATTTAGCAAATCAACATACACTACTTCTTACTAACTTCAAATGATGAATTTTGAAATTTGTATGTTAGTCTCCCGAATCATCAGTGTCACAGCCAGTCCAGCTAGATCAAGCTGATAGATCCGTGGTTTGAAAATAGATTGTCTGAGAAAAAAGGCTGTGGTGCTAGAGTCTATTTCGGAACACCTTGCTCATCAGAATGTAGACTGGATAGAGGGTAGAAAGAGCTGACGTGAGGAAATTGGAGCAAGACCCTGGTTTATCTGATTCTACTAGATGTCACCTTTGACCACAGGCACACCAAGCAGCTTACAGGAGTTCTGCCTTTGAAAAGCAGCCAGGGCAGACGTCCCTCCTGGTTAGCTTAAAGACCAAAAAAATCCTGAAAATATACACTAAACTAAACTTTCCTGGTTATAATGCCAACTTTCATATGATTAAAAAGACTAAGAGCTGAATTAGGGGCCAGTTAAATTGTGCTATATAGGATCTTCCTGGTGGCGCTGAGGTTAAGTCTCAGCACTATCAAGCTCTCGCCAGCCACTGAGACATGAGTTCGATCCCCGGCCAGGGAGATAACCCACAAGGTGGGGCAGACCTCTCCTATCTTACCCACTGCTCCCCTCAGCAGTGTGTTTCAGTTAGTCTGCCTGTTCTGCTCCCCACTCTGTCTCTGGTGAATCTTTTCTCTCTCTCTCTCTCACACACACACACACGCACACCACATCTCTGGCATACACCCCAGTTTTTGTATGCATAAATAAATTGCACTGTACAAAATCTGACAGTTTGTCTCTGTAAATTCTAAAGCTTTCATTATAAAACTTGAGACTTATACCTTGTCTCTAACATTTACCCGTGTCCTGCTTTGTCTGGATTCTACTCACAGCAAGACCCAGTCACGGTACCGCTGAACTGCAGGGAGCAGAGGGAACATTTGGTGAAATCCCTCTCTCTGTCTGTCTCTCTCTTCTCTGCCTCCCTTTCTCCCCATCACAGAGACCTCTTATGTTTGGGAGCTCCAAAATTGAACTTCACTTCACTTTGTATAACAGCTTGTAATTTATGTGCTATAGTCAGTGTTTTACAAATTTGGATTATGGAGTGATTTCTAGGAACACCACAGTGATGAGTCAATTCAACTCACAATTGGAAACAGTTTTCTCTAATTAAAAGTGATTAAATATCTTTATGCTCATCTACATTTTCCAGTACTACAACGAACATATGTTACTTGTGCAATCCAGGGACCCGGGGTGGTGATGGCAGATAGTGATGACAGATACACCCCCAAGAGAAGGGCACAAAACAGGAAGGAGATGTAGAAGAGGCCATTGGGTGTCCCCATTTGGAAAGAGTGGAAGTTCTAACCTTTTTTAAAAAAAATATTTGCTTATGCATGCACGCAAGTACAGGCCAGAGGTGCGGGGGGGTGAGAGCATTCACCAGAGACAGAGTGGGGAACAGAACAGGCAGATTGACCAAAATACACTGCTGAGGGCAGCAGCAGGTGAGACAGGAGAGGTCTGCCGTGCCATGTGGGTATCTCCCTGGCCGGGGATCAAACTCGTGCTGCAGAGGCTGCTGACACCTTCATAGATTGCATCTTAACCCCTTGTACCACCAGGGAGGCCCAAATTCCAACCTTTTTACCACTTGCTTGGTTCTCCAGACAACAGTTCCCAATCTTAGTGATTCCCTGAGCGTCACCTCAGGAATATGATGAGACACCAGTGTCACCCTGCATGTATAGGAAATTCCAAGGCTTTTGGAGCTGTGAGCCAGGAACTGTGAATGAAGCCAAATGGGTGAGAAATATGCTTTTTGGTCATCTGAATGACCACAGTGTATTTCCTAGAAATTCGCAGTGTCTCACTAGTGCTGACACAAGTTGGGATGAAGATGTGGGGGAGAAGACACCACAAAGGGACCGCTGGGACTAGTCTGATGAGCCGTGTGACCTAAACTGGCTGCACACAGAGTCACCTGGGACAATTCTTTTAAAGCACCTGCTCTCCCCCAACCGAAACAGGACAGGATTTGGTTAGGTAACTCTCGGGCATCACGTCAGCAGCAACATTAAGTAGGTGTTACCTCAGTCAAGGCTATACTTCAAATTCAAGAAGTATTTAAGTGTTTACCAGAGGCCTAAATGCTCTTAAGTGCCAAGGAAATGTTTACCAAGAACACAGTGGTTGCAACACACGGTCCAAATTTAATTTGCACAGAGAAAATCCCCTTTACAAAAGCACTTAAGGTCACGGCTCATGATAAAAAGACAAGTAAACCTACTTCAGCCAGGAGCCAGTTGCAATGGGATTTAGCTCTTTATTAACTTAAACGTGTAACAGGAATATCATCCAGCCCTCTAGCTAGTAACCTCGGTAATTCAGGACTGTCACCCACACAGGCATTAATCAATTAACCGAGCGGTATTTCCTGAGTGTCTACCTGCGTGTGTGAAGGGGCACAGGTATGAAAAGACACGATTACCTTCTGAATAGCAGTTCAATTGTCTCTCTTATTAGCTCCGGATCCACAGGAACTCCATCTCCTGGGCCTGTAGAGGAGCTGCAAATTGCAGTAAACCAATGGCCACCCATATCCATTTTCTCCTGAAATCTATAAAGTCTCCTATCTTGGTGTAGTCGAGGAAAGAAATAGCAACTTGCAAGTAGAATACACACAGCAGCAACATACAACCACATTTCTCCCACCTCTGAAGTGAACTCACTTAAGAGCAAGGGGTTTTGCGTCAGAATTAAATTCAACTGTGATCGTCACATTCGGTAAATGTGACCTGGGAGTCACAAATGTGACCTTCCTAACTTCTAAAACGGCATTAGTAACAGACACCACCACACTGGGTATTTGCAAGGATTAAATAAGCAAATATTCATCTATTTCTTAGCACAGGGAGTACATACCCAATAAATGGTAAATTTATTCTTCTTTTTTAATACCTGCCTCAACTATTCATCTATTTCTTAGCACAGGGAGTACATACCCAATAAATGGCAAATTTATTCTTCTTCTTTAATACCTGCCTCAACTTTCACAAGCCTATCAGGCAGTCATAATTCTCCCTATTGGAGAAATGAACTTTGGTGGATTATCCAGGGCTAACTAGTTCATTCATCAACGCCGCTCCAGGGCTTCTGACTCCAGACTCGGGGTTCAGGAGTGCACCCCATCAGCCCTCGTCAACCTCATAGACCTTTACAGAATGGGACGCACTGTCCAGCACAAGAAGAGAGCTCTCCTTGGTGAAGGTCAGGGCCACGGGATGGGAAAGACCACATGTGATGATGGGCTTCAGAACTGGAAACTCCTCGGGCTTCCCTAAGCTTAGGACGGCCTGGCTGGAAGTATCCGCAATAATCACGTTTCCCTGCTGATCAAAGGTCACGGCGGAGGCGATTATTTTGGAGGGGAAGAAGAGGCTCAGCCCAAAGGTGTCCACCTGGCGGAGGAGCTGCATCCCGGGGCTGAACACCTTGACGGTGGTGCTGCAGGCGCCCGCCCCCAGCGCCAGGGGGCGCTCGAGGACCGCGATGGCCCCGGTGAGCCAGGACACGGCCACGCCTCGGGGGCTGCACAGGTGAGCTCGCAGCCTCTCGGCTCTGCGCAGCACCCCTTCCGGACAGTCGACTTCCAGGAGGTGCAGCGAACCCGCTTCGGCATCAGTTACCACGACCCCATTCTGAGGGGTGGTGTCCACACCCCAAGGCAGAGAGAACCGCCCTGCGATGACCAGCTTCACCTGGCCGAGGAAATCAAACACCTTGATGGACCGGTCGCCGGCGTCGGTGACAACCACATGGCAGTCGTGGGTGACGGTGACATCCAGCGGGTACCTAATGTCCTGGGCGGCACCTCCCTTCTCCCCAAACTGTTGCGCACACGCTCCCCCGCAGTCAAAGATCCTGACCCGCCTCCGGCCGTCGTGCACCACCACGACCCGCCCGGTCTGGGGACACTGCGCCAGCCCCGTGGGGTTCACCAGCGTCCCCCAGCCGCCGAAGGCTTGGTGGCAGGTGAGGTTCCCGGGGACGCAGGGCGCAGCGCGGGGGGCGCCCGGGGCCGGGCGCAGCGCCGAGCCCAGGAGCTCCAGCAGGTGCAGCACCGGCAGGCAGTCGCTGGTGTCGCCGGCCGGGCAGGCTCGCCGGCAGAAGGGGCACTCGAGGGCCAGCGTGCGCGGGTGCGCCAGGGCGGCCGCGCAGGCCAGGCAGACCACGTGGCCGCAGGGCAGGTTGCGCGGGCGCCGCTGCTGCAGGTGGCCGAACCTCTCGAAGCACACCTTGCACTCGAGCAGGCTGGTCTCCGCCTCCCGCACGAGCGCCCGCAGCGCCGGGCCGCTCCCCGAGGCCTCGGCGCCCGGCGCGCAGCCCTGGGCCATCCCGGGGCGCAGCGCAGCAGCCCGGCCCGACGCAGGCCCGGCCCAGCGGGCGGTCACGGTCACGGCCACGGTCACGGGGCGGGGTCTGAGGCTGGCGGCCAGCGCTGCGGCCATCGCCGCCTGGTGGCCGCGCGAGGTACTGCTGCCCACCTGGCTCCTTCCTGCAGGGGTAGGGCGGATGTCTCCACTCTGCACGCCAGGGGGCGCACCTGTCGGGGACGAGCAGGTCGCTCGCTCTTCAATAACCTGTAAGTGTCAAAGCAAGAACTAGAAGCCAGTCTTTTAATGCCGCTGCCCTGACGCTTCTCATCCGCAGGACTTAGGCCCTGGTCTCATTGCTCATTGTAGGGTAAGGTAAAAAATCAGGCTTTTCTGCCCTCCTGCCATCAGGATAGATGAGGGAACCCTGTGATCCTGGGTGCATGCCTGATGGCGGGCACCTGGAGTGGGTACACCTGCGCTAAGACTGTGCTTTTAAGGGTGGCGTCACAGGGACACAAGAAGCCAAGAAAGCAGCAGCAGAAGCCGAAGAGAAGCCGAGATCACCAGAGAGCCCAGAGAGAGTGAGGATTTGCTGGGGGCTGGGAGGCCTGCCAGCCTCCTGACCCCCCAGCACCCCTGCCTGCCATATGCCTGGTGAACCCCAATAAAAGACCTGCAAAAAGCCACTGAGGACTCTGACTCCTCCTTTACCCGGTCTGCATGGGATCAGGAAACCTGCGCTGTGTCCTGTTCCTTGCCCCTGCACTCATAATTTTTATTTATTTTTTGTACAAGAACTGGGGTACAGGCCAGAGGTGTGGGGGGTGAGAGGATTCACCAGAGACAGAGTGGGGAACAGAACAGGCAGACTGAGGAAATACACTGCTGAGGGGAGCAGTGGGAGAGACAGGAGAGGTCTGTCCCACCGTGTGGGTAGCTCCCTGGCCAGACGGGAATCGAACTCGTGCTGCAGTGGCTGCGCATTGCTTCATAGGTTGTGTCTTAACCCCTGCGCCACCAGGGAGGCCCTCATTGCTCATAATTTTGAGCTGATGGAAAACACCCGCAAAGGCGAGATGTTAAACTTCAAAGGGTGAGGGAGGTGTGTATTTCTCTGTTTTTTTTTTAAAGATTTACTTTATTTATGCATACAAGAGCTGGGGTGCAGGCCAGAGATACGGGGGGGAATGGTGAGGGGATTAAACCTCATGACAATTATATAAGGGTATGCGGGGTTTCATTATCATTTTTCTACAATAGAGTTCATAGAGGTTAAGAGAGGTTCACAGAGACAGAGCGGGGAACAGAACAGGCAGACTGACTGAAACACACTCCTGAGGGGAGCAGCGGGTGAGACAGGAGAGGTCTGCCTCACCATGTGGGTTGCTCCCTGGCCGGCCAGGCATCGAACTCACGGTGCCGAGGCCATGGATTGCCTCATAGTGTGGTGCTTTAACCCCTTGTGCCAACAGGGAGGCCCAGGTATGTGTATTTCCTTTGTATCTCCTATCACGCCAGCTGTAGAAAACATGCTTACCGGTCACTTGTAAAACAAATTCATGTATGAGGGAGGCATGTTGCAAGATAGCCTGAGAAATGCACTGAGTGTGGGTGTCAGAAGTGGGGACTGAGGATGAGAATCCCTTCAAGCACAATTGTTATGAAGTAAAGCTGCTAGTTATTAATAATTGCTATAGAATTTACTCCGTGCCAGCCCTTTTCTGAGTCATTCCTATATATTATTTTATTTTGTTTAAATATTTATTTATTTATGCATACAAGATCTGGGGTACAGGCCAGAAATGCAGGGGCATGAGAAGATTCACCAGAGACAGGGTGGGGAATAGAACAGGCAGACTGACGAAATACACTGCTGAGGGGAGCAGCGGGCGAGACAGGAGAGGTCTGCTGCACCATGTGGGGTGCTCTCTGGCCATCCCGGGATCGAACTCGTGCTGCAGAGGCTGACGGATTGCTTCATAGTGCGGTGCTTAACGCCATGTGCCACCAGGGAGCCCCTGCCTATAGATTATTTTATTTAAATTTTATGGCAATTTGTAGGGTAAGGTAAAAAGTATCAGGCTTTTCTGGCCTCCCACCATTAGGATAGATGACAGAACCCTGCAGTCCCCAATGCATGCCTGATGGCGGGCACCTGGAGTAGGGTGTGGGCATAGGTAGATGGGATTCACCTGGGCCAAGGCTGGGGCTTATAAGGGTGGCGCAGCGGTGTGCAGTGTGGTGGTGCGGTGCAGAGGATGGTGGAGTGCAGCGGAGTATGGAGTGCGAGGGAGTACGCGAGGACGAACAGCAGAGAGCATGAAGACAGCATGGCTGCTAGAACCGGTAAAGATCCTCCCTGGTCTGGGTTGGTTGCGTTACACCTACCCCGGGTCACAGGGGCTGGAATTGAAGCCAGGGGGAGCACACACCGTCCCAGTGGTTTTCAAACTTGCTTGCACATGGGGAATGCCTGGGTCTCATCCCCAGGCGTTTCACAGTCCGTGGCTCCCTGGTGTGGTCTGGGTAGCTGAGGTATTTGTTTTAAAATCTCCTAAGTGATGAGAATGTGCAGCTAAGTTTGAGAACTGTGGCACCATAATCCTTTCAAATGGCAGCAGGTTAAATCCTTCCAACCTCAGTCAAGACCGAGTGCACCGAGATGTGCACTATATGATCAAAAATCTTCAAACAGGAGATAGCATAATCTCTCTGAGGAATCCACTGTGGTTCCACGATCTCTTTTTTAGGCATCCTCTCCCTCATTGTCTTACAGGAGTATCGCCTCTGGCCAAAGACACATCTCAGATAATTTTTTCTTCGATTAGAGATTGTTATCAGTCTCTAATTTGCTACCTCTTATTTGCTAGACTTCTGAGAACACAGGGTGGAGCTTTTTTTTTTTTGTCTTATTAAACCCCCCCAGAGGGAGCTTTAATATAAAGCAAGAAAGAACATTTTCTTATCAAGTGTTACATGATTCAAAGATTATCTGTACATTGGGACACAATAGCCAAGCCAACATTACAATTTCAGACTACAATACATTTCTTGTCCAAAATAATAGCCAACTAGAGTCACATCAAGTAGAAATTACTATCTGAAGTAATCTTTAATCAAGAAACACATTCAGGACACCAAAAATGGAATATTTTTAGAACTTGTATTGTCTAACAGAAATAGGAGACCCACATATATGTTAAATTTTCTTGTCGCCACATTTTAAAAAGTAAAAGCTAGTGCAATTCATTTAATTTCATACTTTATTTACCCCCAAATATTATCATTTTGATGTCACTATAAAATTATTGAGATATTTTAGACTTTTTTTGGTACTAAGTAAAATCCAGTGTATTTTATTTTATTTATTTTTTAAACTGTTTCATTTTTTTAAAAGATTTATTTATTTATTTATAGAAGCACTGGGTACAGTCAGAAGCGCGGGAGGGTGAGAGAATTCACCAGAGCCAGAGCGGGGAGCAGAACAGGCAGACTGATGAAGTACACTGCTGAGGGGAGCAGCGGGCGGCAGGAGAGGTCTGCGCGTCATGTGGGACCCTCACCGGCGGCTGGGGATCGAACCGGCGCTGCAGAGGCTGCGGGCAGCTTCGCAGCCCAGCGCTCAACTGCTGCACCACCAGGGGCGGCCCCTTCAGTGTATTTTACAATTACAACACATCCCTATCCAGACTGATCCCATTTCAAGAGCTCATTAACCACATGTGAATGGTGGCTGTGACCTGGAACAGCCCAAATTTAGACGGATTCTCTGCTGTGCAATAGTGCCTTCTGCACATGCTTTCCGACAGAGTTCATTGACCCTTGACTAGCTTTTAACCTCTCTCTGCTCCAATATTGCTTCAAAATGGATCCAAAAAGCCCAACTCACTGGAAACTGTGGTGGAGATTGGATAGGCCCCAGTGTTACAGTCAGGCTGTCTCTGACTCAGGAGGGCTCAGCATCTTGTTGGCTCCCTGTGGTCCAGCCTCTGTCGTCTTGGTCTTTTGCTGCCCCCATGGGGCGACCAGTAGAACTGCACCAAGAGGCCGCAGGTGTATAGGGAAGTGAGCCAGGCTGGGCTGCTACCAACCCCACACATTTAAGAGTGTCCCCCCTGATGTACTGGGACTTGGTAGGTAGACAGCACTGTGTGGTTCTGGAAAGCATTGTCCACGTGCACAGTCTACCCTAATGATTTGCTGCCCACACACTAATCAATGCATGTAAACTATGAACATAAAGCTGCGTGGCTTTTGATGGGGACTCGTTTTTCTCAATTGCACAAAATCTTCAGCACTAAAAATTTTGTGCCTTTACTGAGGACCCCCGCATTCTAGCTGGGCTTTGCCATCATGTTCTCTGTTGTTTGCTGCCTCTCCAAAGAACACCCCTCCCTTCACACTAGTCCTTCACACATTCACCAGAGACAGAGTGGGGAGCAGAACAGGCAGACTGACTGAAATACACTGCTAAGGGGAGCAGTGGGCGAGACAGGAGAGGTCTGCTGCGCCATGTGGGTAGCTCCCTGGCCGGGGGATCGAACTCATGCTGCAATGGCTGCCGACAGCTTCATAGTGCTGCATCTTAACCCCTTGTGCCACCAGGGACGCCTGAGGCACAACCTTTTAAAGAGGAGCAAAGACTGTAGATACGTCAGCACTGGCTTGTGAGCCTAAAAGAGCAAAAACGTGGTACTTTTGCCAACCTTTTCTGCTGGGTTGGTCAGTTTTGAGTTTCGGGCTAATCTCAGGGTGCTTCCCCACAAGCAGGTCCCCATTACCTGCGTGATTCCTCATGCTCTGACCGGGATTCTGGCAAGGTCCCCAGCTTTCATCTTCCCAGCCAGCATTCTGACCATTACCTAATTTCATGACTCACACCCCCGAGACTTGGCTTCCCAAGAAAGTGCAGGATTGGGTGGGGACGAAGCGGGATAGCTGTTCAAGCTTGAATGTTTTGTGCACCGACATCAAAACAAGCTGGAGATACATGCTGGAAATGAGAATCTGGAGATTTAATGTTTCTCAAATTTAGAAATTTTGAGTGTTTCTCAAGGCACCATCCAAATGGTATTTTTCTCCTCTCCTCCCACATGCTGTCCCCAGGACTGTCATCCTTACAGATTCAGGGCTTACGTGACTACTTATTCACTGACATCTGCCTGCGTGTACTCCCAGTGCGGCTGAGAGAGCCTGGGTCAAATAAATTGTGAGCTAGAAGAGTTGTCCCAAGTCCTGTTTGAGCAGGTGGACTAAATCATGGACTGGTGAGCCCTGCCAGATAATTCTGTCCACCACACTGACCATAAGGTGCCTTGATGGACAAAAAGCATCAGACCTGGACTTAACAATCATCTCATAATTGCCGGGAGGGAGAAGGCCAAGAACCGGTATGTGCAATGGCAATGGATCCCATCTGCACATGCCTGGGCATAACCCAGCCCAGAACAAGCTATGACACTGCTCTCTCCCTCCCCACCTCATGCACTTCCCTTTAAATATCTCCTTCTAACTCCTTTCCAGGAGCCAGGAGGCTAACGATCCTCCCCAGCACTAGGGCCTCCTCATGCGTGGGTCTCTAGTAAAGCCTTGTCTGATTCAACTACACTTAGTATTCGCTGGGGAATTCTTTCCTAGCGTGCAGAGTCAGGACCTGGAATAACAGCCTTATCACATGATACTGCCACGAGAATCTGAGAATTCTTGGCATAGGACTCTGACTTCTGGCATCAGTGAATCTGACTCCTGTAGCACTTTCAAGAATATTTATATTTGCTGCAGGTCTCTAATAACAGCAGGAAGATTAAATACTTGTGTACTGCCATATACTAGAAAATTATGTAGCTAGTTGTTAAAGCATCTTGTTTTCAGTCCTCCCTGGTGGCCAAGGGTTGTTAAGTCTCACTATGGCCTGAGTTAGATCCTGGGCCAGGGAGCTACCCACATGGCGCAGCAGACCCTCCTGACTCGCCCGCTGCTCCCCTCAGCAGTGTGTTTCAGTCAGTCTGCCTGTTCTGTCCCCTACTCTGTCTCTGGTGAATCCTCTCACCTCCCCACACCTCTGGCCTACACCCCAGTTCTTGTGTGCATAAATAATTGAATCTTTAAAAAAATTAAAAAATAAACAAGATTCAATTAGGAACAACAAAAACTTGCCAAACTCAGATTTAAAAACTTTTAAAAATTTATTTTTACAGCGTTTGGGAAAAACATTTTTGGTTCTACAAAGGTTACTTTGTTGATTTAATCTTTACATTTGTTTCTTGATTCTATTCCATATATAATTACACAAGGAGGCAAAATGTGAAGACAGGTTAGGATTTGAGAATAGGGTATATGAGCAAAGCTAGTATTTTATATAATTTCTTGGGCCACTTTATTTTATCTTGATCATTGTTAAAATATTCTATTCCCTTAATGGATCCAAATTTCATAGAGAATGCCAATGTTTTTACATCTGTTATATTTTTTATTATACACATTATACTTTTGTTTTTTAATTATATGAGTAATACAAGTAATTTTTAATTATATAAGTAATCCTTCAGCTGACACTGAAGGATTCTTGCAATCTGTAATAGATCACACAGGTAAAATCTCCCATCCCCTCTCATTTCCAAAGCTAACTTTATCATTTATATGTGATTTTTTTTCTAAAATTATGCATTTTTGAGCAAAGATCTGTGGTGAACAATTTGTGAACAATTTTTCCAAAAGACATCCATTATATTTTCATTCTTTAATACATTTTAGTTGCTCAAAAACATGTTGCTATTTCTTGCTTGTATCTCACTTTTCTGTAAGTAGATATAAATTTTCAAAAAGGTAATCAATCCCCCATCTTTTATATTTTTCTTCAAAAATATCAACCTTTTCCAGACAATGAATATTGCACATTGAGCCTGAAACGGGAAGAAAGGGTAATGGATTTAACTTTTGTGAAGAATACAATCAGGCGTTCTAAAAACACATCAAAAGACTTAAAAACAGTGTACAGAATATTTTCCTTCTCTTTTACTGAAAATGGGCATGTACTAAGGGCAACATATCTAAATTCTAAATTATTGTTATCACTATATTTCCTAAGAGTTAAACTTCTTTGAATTCTCTAAGTAGAATTCAAAGGTCTTTAACATGAGCCCATCACTACCTCAAAAGGCATATTTCAGAAATGGGTCATTTTTTTTTTTTTTTAAGGATAAAATAGTCGTCAATGAAATGGTTTCTGACTTTTAAACTTCACCCATATCCAGATACTAACAGATTTTGCTAACAGCTCCTAACTGTGAGGTTGACTTTAACTTCCAACACTCGTCCATAACTTACCAAACAATCTCTGAATTTCAGCGTCTGGAATATAAAATGGTGGCCCTGCATGAGAGAGAAATATGGTCAAGCATTCTTTCTATAGATCGAATTCTAAATCTCTAAAGAAATAAATTCTCAGGGTTCACCCTGACCTTATTTCCAATGACCTAGGTATATAACTAAATTATCCAAATGGGTGAAGGCTGCCCTGAGTCTCCTTCAAGCTCCACTGATTTCTGTTTTCAACTAACTGTCCCAGACTTAGTTGTAGACTAATCTTGTAACAAGTGTTTAAGATCTGATGTACTCCAACAGATAAAAAAAAAATTTTTTTTTAAAGTGAATGAGTATAAAACAAGGCACTTTTAAAAAACGTCCATTGAAAATCAAAAAGAGTATTTTCACCAATATAAAGTTTGTGTGTTTGGTTTTCTTCTGGAAAATAAAAGTTCAATCATGAAAAAGGTTGAGCTTTAATGTTCAAGCACATTAAAATGTGTCCAGAAGAATCATCACCTTTACAAATTCAAAACAAAGAGAGTTATAAAAGAATGTAACAAATGAAGCACAGAATTCAGAAATTAAAAAACAGCAGGAGTTTAGAGATTTCCTTCACTCCACCTTCCTGCCCTGGCTCATTTCTCACCCCATACTCTAATGCTAAAATAGGAGGCACCTGCCCAACACACAGATATGCTATAACATAGCAAGGAAACCAAATCTCCTGCCCCCTAATCCAGGAGATGTTCCTCCTAATCCAGGGTTTATGAAATTCCTCTTATATCCACATTATCCATTTTTCTCCCTCTTCGACAGCTTGAGCTGTGAATGGGAATGGAACAGGAGAAAACAAATCCAGAGGAGGAGAAAAAAACACTTTAGTTTCCACTAGCAAAAATACCTCAAACAAACAAAAACAAACTTATCATGATGTATAGAAGCAATGTAATGAGATAAATTACAAGAAACTAATGTTACCGATGTCCAGAATTAAGTCAGTACACGAGACAACTAGGAAAAAAAAAACCACTTTACCTGCATATTTCGTTGGATCATAAGAAAGAACAGACAATAGGTAGCGAGCCCCTTTCTCCATGAGGGACAGCATGATATCTGTGTAGCTAAAAAGAACGCAAAAAAACGGTTATGTTTCTCTGCAAAAGTAAAGCCTGCAGGAGCCTTCCTGGTGGTGCAAGGAGTTAAGTCTCAGCAATATGAAGCAATCGGCAGCCACTGCAGCATGAGTTTGATCACCGGCCAGGGAGCTACCCACACGGTGCAGCAGACCTCTCCTCTCTCACCTGCTGTTCCTCTCAGTAGTGTATTTCAGTAGATCTGCCTGTTCTGCTCCCCACTCTGTCTCTAGTAAATCCTCTTACCCTCCCGCCCCTGTACCTCTGGCCTGTACCCCAATTTTTGTATACATAAATAAATCCTTAAATAAAAGATAAAGACTGCAAGGGGAGGAGCAGGGTGGCAAACCAGGACTCACTGTCAATTCATTATTGAGCTTGATTCTAAGAATGGTAGGATGTTAATTCTCACCCTAAAAACCAGAAAAGGGATGGGGAGTTTCCAGCCTAAGCTGGGAAGAAGTGAAGTTGGGGATCAAAATGAGACTTCCAGAGCCCACCCAACTGGAAGACGAAGACCACTGTGAACCCAGGCCCTGCCGCACTGGTGGCCCAGATCAGGCAAGGTATCAACATTGCCTGGCACCTGCTGCAAGATGAGAGGCTGGAGTTCCAGCCAGACTCAGTAGGATGCTGCAGTTAACAAACATCTGGGGTGGCTGAGACTCCCCAGGAACACACAATCCTTTTCCCTATGAAGCTGGAGAGACAAGACTAACGAACAGGCAAAAGCTCAAGGCAGAACGAATGTCTGCCAAGCCTGCTGCAGGCCGCGAATGCCCTAGGAACAATCCTTACTCCAGAGACCTTGGCAAGCAGGTGACTTGGCTTCCCAGTCAAGTCTAGGACCATCAGTCTTCCGGGAAGAGCCAGGGCTGGGCCCCTGTAGAGCCAGAAGTTTCCCAAGTCTCTTATCTCCACTGAGTTAAGAGACCCCCCCGCCCCACAAAGGGCTTGCTAGTTAGTAGCTGTTGGGCACTGTGGCTACTGCTCTGTCCTGCTGTGGGAGGGTGGAGCTGAGGAGTGCCCTGAGCAGGTCAGCTAGCGAGGAGCAGAAATCGAGTAATGGAGGAAACTGAGTGGTGTGGACAGGAGGATAGAGACATATACAGGGAGGTAGAGACCATGAGATACAGACAGATGGACAGTCTGCCCAGCTTTGAGGGAGGAGTCTGGCTTCTAGGCGCACCAGTTTCTCCAGGGTCTTCTGTCCTGCACCCTGTTAGGAGCTCAGTGAGAAATTGGGGAGGCTGTCCAGAATGGGGATTAGGAATGTGAGCTCTGCCCAGCACCTGAGCGCAAATGCCAGCTCCTCCACTTACTGGCTACATGGGCTGGACAAACACTAAGCCTCTGCATGCCTTAGTTTCCTCATCTGTAAAGTGGGGTGAAGACTAGTAATCATTTCACAGGCTGCTGCGAGGATCCAGTGAATTAACACAGGTAAAATGCCTGGTACCTGGCAAGCACTCAGAATTAGCTACTGTGATTCTTTCAGCCTCCTTGACATAAACCTCCCTAACTAGAGCTGGCTTGAGTGGATCGCTCTTTCTTGAAAGCAAAGTTTTGAGTAGAAATTTTTATTTTGAAAACTTTCTGCTTTTTCTCAAGAAGTAGAAGGAACTTGCTGTCCTTCTCAGACTGGTTTGGTAGGGCTTTCCAGACTGGTGACCTTTATTCTTCTTGGAATGTCAACTTTCAATCGGTTTCCAAAAATTCAGTAAGACAACTGTATGTGGCACTGGCTTATGTCAGACGCGAGATACAATAGTCACAGAAGCTGGTGAGCAATTGAGAGACGCCCAGTACTGACAAGTACAGATAAAGCATTGACTAAGCACTTAATAAATAACAAAGACCAACATGTTATCAGGGTTGCTTGGGGTGGTGAACTGCCCCATGATTGGGGAGCAGAGGAAAGAGTAAGTTTGGGGCACTATGAAGGGCATAGAGTCTGTGGCTAAGCTGGAATTGGATTCCCTAAGTCAGAGATCTGGAAGGGGCCTCACTAGTCTTTGTCAATCATGAATTAAGCAGTTTGGAGACCACCTGAATGGGCTTTATATCTAGAACAGAGGAAGTGGTGGTGGCTGGCTGGAAACAAACAATATATTTCCTTTGCTTTGAGTCCACTTTGCTGTCATTCATTTATTCAACAAATATTTTTAAGTTCCTACTATGCGCTGAATATCTAATATGCCATATGGTGGAGAAATAACCTATATGTGGTCTGTCTGAATGCTAGTTTCTGGACTTCCAGCTTGCTACCTACTGTGGATTCTATCCATGCAAACCAAAATCCCCCAGAGAACTAACCTCAAAGAGGAGTAGCATCTCAAAGACTTGGGAAACACCCATGATGTCAGATATTTAGTGGAATTGAGTCTTACTACACAAATGCGATGTTTAATGGAGACAAATCAATCGATAAAGAATACTCATGTCACAAGAAATGCAAAGCAAACAATGGAAATGTGATATGGATATTTGGGAGAATATAAAATATGATCATGCCAAATGATGGAATATAAAAAATGATCATGCCAAATACCATGGATGATTTGTTCAGTTTTTCCCCCAACATCTGGTATAGTATATATTTAGAACATAGTAGGAGCTTAACTCATATTTGCTGGATAACTGAACAAAAGTAACAAGAGAACTGAAATGACCATTCAAGGAACAAATGTAAGAGAGAAAAGCAAAGATGGACTTTCAGGCATTTCAGGAAGGTTCTAGAAAAGCGATGCAGGAGTGGTGAACAGAAAGAGAAAGGAAAACAGGAGCATGAATTATCACCAAAGGAAAGTGTATTAAAAAGATAAGGCAAGGTCTAACGAAGAGATTAGAAATAAGCCTTATTCAAAAAACAATTTTAAAGCAAAAGTGTTATTTCATAGATGTGTAGTCCAGCCTTTTTTTTTTTTTTTTTTTGCAATGTGTTTAGCTGTCTCCAACCAGCTCAGTAATTCACTCTCATGTGCTATATCCAAGGATGTGAATCTGAATTGGAAAGATAGGAGGGTGTCATTTTACACAGGATGGGCTCATATTCTCATTTTATTTTCTAATGAGATTAAATACAACAAGAATGATCACCAAAAGGTCAATAATAAAATTACTAATAAGAGCTACTATCCTAACAGCGATCTAGGGTTAATGGGCACTTTCCACACATATTATTCCCCCTATTTCCCCCGAGGACACTGTGAAATAGTCCAATACGGGATTCACCAGTATGGACTTTGCAGCCAAACTCTGTGGTCTTGGAAGTCTAATCTATCACACACTGGCTGCTTACCTTTGGATGAGACACCTAATCTCTTTGACCTCAAGTTTCTCAGCTGTATAATGGGGATAATGACTCTTTATACCTCACGGGGTTGTTTTGTGGATTAAATGTGTTGATTCACATAAAGTATTTCAAACAATGCTTAGCACATGACAAGTGCCTGGTAGGTGTTATCTGGTAATATTTTGGATGTGGTGATGGTGAAATAAACAGAGATATCACAATTTCGCAGCGATAAACTCAGACTTGGGGAAGTCTGTACTTTGATGAGGGCAACACAGCCTACAAGTGATGGAGCCACAAGCTTTTCAACCAGGTCCAAACCCTATGCTTCTGTGACAAAGATGGTATTGGATTTGGGTCTTCTAAGTCCACAAATAACAAGCTACTTCCAACTTGAAAAAGTTTAGCTAATTTTCTGGGGCCCAGGAAAAGGGCAATCAGAAGGTTTAAAAAGTCAACATAAATTAAAGAAACCAAATTACTAACCGTTGGTGATCTCCTGGGTTGATAGCGACTAATGCTGCTCTATCCCAAATCCTGTCAAACTTGCCAATATTTGCTCTACCAGAGAGAGAAAGGGAACAAAGCAAAACACTTTATGCAAGGAATATTAAGTCTTTGTCAAAACAAAGCATTCCCCACAGTGCACGCTGGCCCTTCAGCACCTGCAAACAAAGGGGACACATTTCGGCTCTTCCTTGGGGTCAGTAAGGACAGGTAGATGTGGGAGCTACCCAAGGACTTCCAGGAGATAAGCTCTCACTTCCTTGCACATCTAGAAATCCATTTCTGTTACTGAGTCAGGTAAGAAGTTCTGCCTTGTTCTCCCTCCCTCTTCATACCTGGCCAAGGTCATCATAATATTTCCCAGTTGGAATCTCTCCAAGGACAAGTGTGTTATCAAGTGTGCAGACATACCAGCTGCAGTGATAAGTCAAATAACTGCAGAACTGAGACCCCAATCAATGGTTCGTGGGTGCTGCAGATGGATGGGAGTGGTGCAAAGATCTTCACCCCCAAGCCCAGCATTGCCCAAAGTGCAGAATAGTATTCAGTCCTACCTGGGAAGATCAAACAGGCTGCAACAGTACAACAAAATGTTCCCTGAAGAACTCTGTAATTTTAAGAAAAAAAAATACTTTGTTAGGAGCTTCAGGAACAATCACAGGGAAAAAGGTGGGAGGTGGGAGGAAGACAGAGCAAAGATAACGTGGTGGAGACAAGGTGTGGTTTAACATGAAGAACATAATTTTATGCACTTTAATGGCACCTTGTTATTTTTTTTTTCAAATTTTCTTTTTTTTTTTAGATTTATTTATTTTATACAAGAGCTGGGGTACAGGCCAGAGGCATGGGAGGGTGAGAGGATTCACCAGAGACAGAGTGGGGAACAGAACAGGCAGACTGACTGAAATACACTGCTGAGGGGAGCAGTAGACGAGACAGGAGAGGTCTGCCGTGACATGTGGGAATCTCCCTGGCTGGGCGGGAATCGAACCCGCGCTGCAGAGGCTGCGGACAGCTTCACAGCGCTGTGCTCAACCCGCTGCGCCACCGGGGATGCCCCATACCTTGTTATTTTTTAACCTCTATGGGTTCTTTTGGATCAACACAAAGAGGTAAATCAAAGAGAGGGTAACCCTGAAGATGAGTAGCTATTATTCATTTCAGAGCTTATTGAATTTTAGCGTGATTACTTCAGCAGACACCTCCATTACGACTTTGCTGAAGATAATTTCACAGGTCAACCAGTTACCAGGCAGGCTGATGGAGAGGGCGCAGAGGGTTGAAGGTTATTTGAGAGAAGTGCAGTGAGCCGCATTCATTTACTAATGGACATTCATTTCCTGAGAGCCTGGAGACAGGACTGTGCCTGCCTCTACACTATGCACATGAACTCGACACAGTGAGGAGTCAGGTGGAGCAGAGAGGTGTGGGGTCCCGGAATGGTGTGTACTGACTGCTCTGGTCACGCGCCCCAGAACTGTGGATACATTGAGAACCTGCAGGAGCTTCCCGGGAGCATCAGGAAAGACCAAACAAGAAAGGGCATCGGAGGCATCGCAGGGGGACAGCAGGGACGCAGTCTGGGGGTTACATGACGTGGACTCTGTCATGTCCAGAGACTGTGGGGGGACATCTGCCTGTGGGAACAGGGGTGAAGGGCAAGGTTGGAAGATAGGTCAGGACATGAAACTGTTGGACTTTATTCTGAAATGAGGCGACAGAGGGATATAGAGAGAGGAGGGAGGATCTTCGAGGACCAGCCTGGAAGTGCTGTGAAGGGGTGGGCAGTGTGGGAAGAAAAGCCAGTGAATTCGGCTGCCTGGTCTGGGCACACGCTGCAGAGGAGAATCAATGGGGAGCTTTAAAGCCACTCTGGAGAATTTTAGTTACCTGGTGAAGGGTGAGCCTCAGCCCTGGAAATTTTAAAAGATCCACAGATGATTTCAAGTGAGGTACCAGTGCTCCATTAAGCAATCTGGAAGCAGGACTGGCCTCTTTGTCTGAGAGGTGATTTAAACTCCAGTCTTGCAGGTGATTTGAGAATGCGTTGGAGAATGCATTTGGAATGCTTCAAAATAAAGTGCTACCCGGACTCTTGCTGATGAGCAATTAATTGCAATATTTAGAAGATGTGGCACTTTGGTAGAGACGGATGAGACAAGTGGACAATGACCACAGCCTGTGTGTCAAGAGGACCCAGACCCTGCAACCCCCAGAGTCACCCTCCCATCCCCTACTCAGGATCAAGCAGAAAAGCCAAATCTTCTCCTCAAAGCAATCCCATAAGACGCCCCACTCCCAGCCAGTGCACCTCCAGCTGCCCAGTCCAGGCACACCTGAAACCTGCCTGCTTTTCGTGACAAAGTTTTCCACTGCCCTGGCCAGCTTCACTCCACTGCTTAATGGAAGTGGCTGGTTCCCTCTTAGTAAATGTTTTCCGCTTGTTCTCATTGCAGAGGTCTTTTTTTTTTAATTTTTTAAAAGATTTATTTATCTATGCATACAAAAACCAGGGAGTAAGCAAGAGGTGTGAGGGGTGAGAGGATCCACCAGAGACAGAGTAGGGAGCAGAACAGGCAGATCTACTGAAATACACTGCTGAGGGGAGCAGCGGGCGAGTCAGGAGAGGTCTGCCAGGCCATGGGGGTTGCTCCCTGGCTGGGGATTGGACTCGTGCTGCAGTGGCTGGCGACAGCCCGACAGCACTGTCTTCTTTAACCCCAATGCCACCAGGGAGGCCCTCATTGGGTTGGTCTTGATTTCCACATTTTACCCCAAGTTTGTGAAGCAGTTCTGTGCGATCATTCTGGTCAGAAAATGAAGGAAACTCCCAAAGCTCTCATCTCCAGCCCAAACCCCATCCTGTGCCTCGGAGACATAAAACCAGCTCTCCTTGTCATTCCCCTGGTCTCTCAAACACATCCTCTTCTGGATAAAACTCAACGTCTCTGTGCTTCAACTTGCTTCTCTTTTATTCTCTAGCATCCCCACTCAGTTAACTGCTAAATCCTGCCAACTTGACATCTAAGCATTGCTTTTTTTTTAAATTTTTTATTTTATTTATTTATTTATACAAGCACTGGGTACAGTCAGAAGCGCGGGAGGGTGAGAGAATTCACCAGAGCCAGAGCAGCGGGGAGCAGAGCAGGCAGAAGGACCGAAGTACACTGCTGAGGGGAGCAGAGGGCGGCAGGAGAGGTCTGCGCGCCATGTGGGACCCTCCTCCGGTGGCCGGGGAGCAGCCGGGGATCGAACCGGCGCTGCAGAGGCTGCAGGCAGCTTCACAGCCCAGCGCTCAACCGCTGCACCACCAGGGGAGGCCCTAAGCATTGCTCTAAGTTACCCGTTCCACTAAAGGCCACATCACTTTTCTAGAACTTCAAGATGGCTTTCCTGGACCACTGTTCATAGCCTCCTCTCTGGTCTTCCTGCCTGCAGGCTACTTCCCTTCAAATTTTCCTCCTCTCAGGTCACAGGGATGGTTTTTCTCAAAAGAAAATCTGGGCCTTCCTAAGGTTAAGTCCCCAGGCGTAAGTCCCAGCACTATTACTGCTATCGCCTGGGTTCAATCCCCGGCCAGGGACCTGACCCACATGGAGCAGCAGACCTCTCCTGTCTTGCCCGCTGCTCCCCTCAGCAGTGTGTTTCAGTAGATCCACCTGTTCTGCTCCCCACTCTGGCTCTGGTGAATCTTCTTCACCCACCCCCACCCCACTGGCATGTACCCCAGTTCTTCTACACAAAAGTAAATTAAAAAAATTTTTTTAAATAAAATAAAATCTGACCATGTCATGCTTCCACTTAAAACCCTACTGGAGAGCAGGCTGCAGTGCCTGAGAACATGGACTTGACTCCTGTCTCTTCCAGCCCCATCCGTCACCGTGCTTCAGAAAGCACCTCCAGGCTGGGTTAGGTAACTCTCCTTTCTGTTCCCTTAATACCCCATGTCATTACATTAGATATGTGTATGACCAACTGCATTTGCTGTTTCTCTTTGCTCCTGAGCTGGGAGATTCTTTAGAATGGGAATTGTTTTTGTATCTTCCATGCCTTATGCAGGGTGGGGCAAAAGACAGGTTCTCAGAAATGCCTTTTGGAAGTAGAAACCAAACAAACCAAAACCAGAAACATGAGTATAGACAGGCTTTGACCTCAGCTTTTATATACATTTATCCCTCACCACCCAGGCAGCCAGTTAGCCTCTATCTTTAAGCCCTACCTCCTCACATGTGTCTGTAACATCCATTATGTGAATCTGGTGATAAATCAGATTTGCAAATCATCTCACGCTTGTATAGTATCCTCACTTACTCACACTGAGAAAAACTGCTACTGTGGAGGTATGGAAATAACTATTTACCAAAAACACAACAAACCTTGAATAGTTTGGCTCCAGGAATTTCCATGACTGGCTCTTCCGAGTAAGTAAGATTCTGCTCTGTAAAAAATTCCCGTATTCCAAGTTCACTGATTTCTACACCAACGACACTGTGTCCTTGATCTGCAAACCTGCATAAAATCATATATTTACACTTAAAATATTACATCAAATATTGTACTAGACAAAAGAGTACTTCAACAAACCCACATTTTCCTTAATTTTAGGAGCTCTATAGGAATTCAGGTTCAAAGGATTTCATAAAACATGTAAGAAGCACATTTGTATATTCTCACTATTTATGTTATATGGAATTTGGAAAAACTGATTTATGTGACTAGCAAAAATTTAAAATTTAGAAAATTATAACTTAAGATATTGATTTACTACAAATAGTCTTGATTAGAAGAATTTCCCATTTAAAAGCATGTTATGGATTAGAAATTATTTTCAAGTTCTCAGAATTGGCTCTGTCCATTTAAAACTTGCTGTAATGATGAAAACCTCTATGTCTGTGTTTTCCAATACAACAGCCACAAACCACATTGGCTGTTGAGGTCTTGAGACATGGCAAGTGTGACTTAGTTTAGATTTAGCTAGCAGATGTGACTCACAGCTACTGTACTAGAGAACACTCTAGAATATTAGTGTCAGTTCTATAATAATCTTATCACTGCCGTTTACTGATAAGAAACACCACACAGAAATTTCTTTTATTACCATATGCAAACAGTCTTTCCCTGGTAAGCTTTATAATTATGGAATTCACTGTCTAGACATCCTGGATTCCAGAGAAAAAAGTACTCTAGGCACAATAATGATTTTATGTGAAATTAAATAAACACATAGTCAGTTCTGCTACCATGTACCGTATACCTTCCTAAAAATCATGCAAAAAAAAAAAATCATGAAGCTTGTGGGGAAAATGGGATGGGACCCAACATTAAAACTTTTTATCACATCACAAAGGAAAAAGACAGGAACTTTAGAATGGGTGGCACAGTCTTATGTGTTATGAAATGTCTAAAAACTGCCATGTGGGGGTGATGGAATCTTAGAAAAGTTTAGGATGGGGAAACAGATATTATCTAAAAAAATTTTTTAAATGATGAATGTTAAAGTAAAAAAATAAAAATAAAATAAATTAAAAAAATAAAATGCAAAAAAAAAGTAGAAAAAGAAAAAGAAAAGTTTAGGATGGGAGGTCTCACAAGGACAGACACCAGAGGTGGGGGTAGGGATGATCAATGAATCTTGTCCTAAACCTGGCCATGGAAGGTTCCAGGAACCTAAGGGGTGGTCAGAAAAGACCACCTCCCTGGTGGCACAACGGGTTACGACGCACTGTGAAGCTATCCGCAGCCACTGCAGAACGTGTTGGAGCCCCAGCCAGGGAGTGACCCAGCTGGCGCAGCAGACTTAACTTGTCTTGCCTGCTGCTCCCCTCAGCAGTGTATTTCACCCAGTCTGCCTCTTCTGTTCCCCACTCTGTGTCTGGTGAATCCTCTCACCCCCCACACCTCTGGCCTGTACCCCAGTTCTTGTATGTACACATAAATAAATCTTTAAAAAAATATAGAAAAGATTATCAGCCAGAGGTGGGGGCAGAGAGGATTATTGTTCTTCGAAGACCAACCCAAAGGGATACTTTCCACAATAATTCCATCAAAGTACACTATAAAAGAATACCCTTTGTCCTGGCAAAATGCAGCTTTTATCTTTTAAGACCGCCTGCCTGTGTCTATGCAGGCATCTCTATTTCCTTGTTCTCCTTTCTCCAGTAAACTTACTGTATGTTGTTGCGCAGGAATGTCACTGAATTCTTTCTCAGAAGGACCCAACAACCCCTTGCACCAAACTCCATCAGGGGCATTGGAAGGGTGGCATCTGGGAAGCATTGTGAAGTGATGGGATTCAAATGGAAAGTTCTAGCACTAGCTGTGTGGATGGGAGTGGCTTGCAGCAATCAGGGTGAACTGAGGTACTGCGGATCATGGCTGAGGTGTGTGCATTGTGTTCTGTCTACTCAGACACAGCTTGGTTGACCTGACAGAGTTTAGCTTTCACTGCATGCTCCTGCAGGTGAAATCCCACATCAGCAAATGTGAAATTCAAGTCGCGCTCAAATTGTTCTGTGACCTATGGACGGAGTGTAAAGAGCACTCATATTTCAACACCAGACATATAGCACAGCTGACTGGACCTCTCACCTGTGTGAGACCATATACTTTCTGTGGCCAGAACATCAACTGTGTATAGTTTTAAAATGAAACATGAGTAAATTGTCTTTTGTATTTCCTAGGGAAGTTTGTAAACTGACATATGGGGAAAATTTGAAAATTCTCCATGCATTTTTTCAAGTTATGAAATATAAACAGAAATGTTGTCTGAATTATAAGGATTTTTATTGCATTCTCTTGTGTTATCATTATTAAATTTAAAAACTAAGCCTCCATTCCTTGCCCAGCTGGCAAATTTGGGCAGCTTGAATGGATAAAAGGAATGAAACTTGGACATTAGCTGACCCAAACAGCTGATGATCCTTTATACTAATTCAGATCATCAGTCAGGACACACCCAAGACCAGTCACCCTAGGGGACCCTCATCTTCTGTGAAGCAGGACCCTCCTGCCCACCCTCTGTAGACCCCTCCTGTCCCACCTGCTGCCCCTCAGGAGTATATTTCAAAAAATCCACCTGTTCTGCTCACCACTCTGTCTCTGGTGAATTCTTTCACTCCTGTGCCTCTGGAATATTCCCAATTCTCCCCTACGACACTCTCACCATATAGAAAATTAAGCATAAAGAAAGAAAAGAAAATGAAGCATAGTTTACTATAGACAGCACAGGCTGGATTATATTAAAATGTTGCTGTTAGAAAAAAAAAACAAACCTAAGAAAATGTCTTAAACACTTATCCTCAATGCTTTGGGGCTGCTAGTTTATCGAGTCACATGTGGTATCTCTATAGATCTCAGTATGCAGATTAATTACAGAAATGAAAAATCCTCACCTATGATAATTTATGTGCAATTCTTGCTTACTTTTGGTATTTTTATTACAAATGACTCGAGGCCCAAAATATTCAACGATCACATTTAACTGGCTGTTTTCATCATACCTTTTTCTAATCTTATCTCAAAAACTGCACTAGATTGTTCTTGCTTGTAACATGGCGATAAGACACTCTGTCTCTAGAGATAAAACAATTTCCTTGCAGGTTAAAATAGCTCTCTCTTCTGGTTCAGTGAATTGGGTAAGGTTGAGGTTTAATAATATAGTTTAAAGAGTCTCACTTTCATGGCCATACTGGAATTTGAAACTATAGCAGTCATTTCACCAATGCGCTCAGCTGTAAGATGAGCAGAATACGTGGGCTGGCTGAAAAAAATGTCACTATCTCTACTTGAAAATCAACCCAAATTCATACATGTTCTATAGGTCAGCCACTTTTATTTAGTATATATAGGGGACAGAGCATTTTTTTTAAAGATTTATTTATACAAGCACTAGGTACAGTCAGAAGCACAGGAGGGTGAGAGAATTCACCAGAGCCAGAGCGGGGAGCAGAGCAGGCAGAAGGACCGAAGTACACTGCTGAGGGGAGCAGCGGGCGGCAGGAGAGGTCTGCGCGCCATGTGGGACCCTCCTCCAGTGGCCGGGGAGCAGCCGGGGATCGAACCGGCGCTGCAGAGGCTGTGGGCAGTTTCGCAACCCAGCGCTCAACCGATGCGCCATCGGGGAGGCCCAGGGGACAGAGCATTTTTAAGCTACTCCAATTTTTGTTTACTAACCTTTCTTCCAGCTTAATGATGAAACTTCTCAATATACAAGTTTATAAATTAACTTTGGTATGTATGACAATAACCACAGAGTTCTGCAGAGAAAATGATTGCTAGGTTTATGACCTACTGCAATCCATATATGGTAGTCTGTTAATTAAAGTGAATTCTTTTCACAGAATTATTTATAAGAAATACTTTCTTCATCACTGGTTTTATAACAATGACTTATGATAAAATCTCTTCTGTGTATGGAGAGGGAAGTTGAGCTGAACTGTAGACTATATACATTGTCTTGTTAAAAGTTATGCTATGTTGAATTTTTCTGTCCACCTCTATTGCAAATATCTAAAAATTACTTTAGCTAAATTTCTTTTTTTTTTAAAGATTTATTTATTCATTCATTCATTCATTCAAGCACTGGGTACAGTCAGAAGCACGGGAGGGTGAGAGAATTCACCAGAGCTAGAGCGGGGAGCAGAGCAGGCAAAGGACCGAAGTACACTGCTGAGGGGAGCAGCGGGCGGCAGGAGAGGTCTGCGCGCCATGTGGGACCCTCTCCGGTGGCCGGGGAGCAGCGGGGATCGAACCGGGGCTGCAGAGGCCGTGGGCAGCTTCGCAACCCAGCGCTCAACCACTGCGCCACCGGGGAGGCCCTACTTTAGCTAAATTTCTAAACCACCTTCAAAAACTAAACCTTGCACAAGGCTCTAGTTGAAACAGGTTAAGGCTGGCTCCCTTGCCCTCCCAATCACACTTTGGTTCTAAACCAATTCTTTTTCTTTGAAGCTCAAAATAGAAAGATTAGGTCACTTCCCTGTTTCTGTTCATAACTGTCTTTAATTATATACCCATCAATAATAGTCTATTAAAAATAAAGCATCCTTGTGCATCTCTGGGTGATAGAATTTTTTAACCTCTGATTCGTTAAACATTCACTGGGGCCTCCCAGGTGGTGCAAGGGGTTAAGTCTCAGCTCTATCAAGCTATCCCCAGCCACTGTGGCATGAGTTCGATCCCTGGCCAGGGAGCTACCCACATGGCACAGCAGACCTCTCCTGTCTCGCCCACTGCTCCCCTCAGCGGTGTATTTCTGTCAATCTGCCTGTTCTGCTCCCCACTGTCTCTGGTGAATCCTCTCACCTCCACACCTCTGGCCTGTACCCCAGTTCTTGTATGCCTAAATTAATTAAAATAAATATTTAAAAATAAATATTCACCCACCCAGAGTATTTATCATCAAGAAAAGAAAGTATGTTAATACTTATCTGCTCATACCATTTCATCTCAACTGCTTTTCCACAAAGAGGAAAAAATACCCTCAGTCCATTCTTGCCTTCAAGAAAAGTATCCAAATACTTCTTTAATAGCCTGGGGAGAAAAAAAAAATGTTGATTTTAATGAGTCCAATGCATAGAGGAAGGACTACCCTTGTATGATGCTTAGTACTTTTCATGCATTATGTCACTTAATATTGCAACAACTTTATGAAATATTATTATAATCCCTTTACATACGAAGACACAATAAGGTTAAGTAACTTGCTCGGTCAGAGAAGCAGTGAGAGGCTAATCTGACTTAAACCAGGGGCTTTCTTGAGTAGTAAGTAAAGCCAAAAAATTAGATTTTTTTCCCTTTGGCTGCTATGTTTTAAAAATTCTTTGTTAATTTTCTAAATGTTCTGTGTATGTGTGCACATGTGTGTACACACACGTGTGCAATGTAGGGAAACCTTTGGACTGGACCCGGTGAATTATTCAACATTCATTTGATGCTGTGTTCTCTAGATGAGTTCCAGGTCTCACAAGTGGCTCTGAAAAGTTAGATTCTTTTTTTTTATATATAGATTTTATTTATTTCTTTTTGCATAGAAGAGCTGGGGTATAGGTCAGAAGTGTGGGAGTCACCAGAGAGAGTGGGGAACAGAACAGGCAGACTGACTGAAATACACTGCTGAGGGGAGCAGCGGTCAAGACAGGAGAGGTCTGCTGTGCCATGTGGGTCACCTCCCTGGCCAGGTATTGAACTCGTGCCACAGTAAGACTTACCCCCTTCTAAGGCCATCTACCTGACAGAGAAATCCCACGCAAAGGCTCCGGGATGATGGCTCACTCCCACTCAGTGTACAAATTCAATAATGTTAATGTCCCATGGGAAGTGGGACTAGCTGCCTGGAACAAGGATCATGTGTCATGACCACACTGCCTAGCACAGGCCCTGATTTATTGTTGCTTCCATCAAGTCTGCTACTTCTAATCCACTGCTCACTATCCTAGCTCATTCATGAATTTCTCTCAACTTCTCTCCTGCCCCCCAATAGACAATACAACTGCTATTGCAAAGCCAAGTCAGAATAATATCCCTTTTTGGGCCTCCCTGGTGGCACAGGCGGTTGAGCGCTGCATTGTAAAGCTGTCCACAGCCTTTGCAGTGCTGGTTCAATCTTCGGCCGCCGGCGAGGGTCCCACATGGTGCAGCAGACCTCTCCTGTCTCGCCCGCTGCTCCCCTCAGCAGTGTATTTCATCGTCTGCCTGTTCTGTTCCCCACTCTGTCTCTGGTGAATCCTCTCACCCTCCCACGGATCTGGCTTGTACCCTGGTTCTTACATAAATAAATAAATCTTAAAAAAAAAAAGAAGAAGAATATCTCTTTTCACTTTGGAGGTGTGAGGAACAATATTACCAAGTACCTGCTGGATCTATAAGCATATGTAACCAATATACAGGTGCTACAGGGGATTTTTTTTTTTTAAGACACATTTCATAAATCTTAGATGGCACCAGCTGTAAGTCACATCATGATGTGTACTCCAGGGGAAGAAATGACACTGCCAGCTGAACTGTTATAGGCCACAACTCTGATGCCAGAGGTGCTAACATGTGAGCAACTGAAAACACGCATCTTAAAATCAGTCAGATAATGAGAGACCATATCTCTGTTATAGATCAAATATTTCTTACTGATTTCCTTGTTCTTGATGAAATGCAATGTTGCGGTTCACCCACTTTTGTTGCCATTCTTCCAGAGTTAGCGCTTGGTGTTTCTGCACCTCATTGTCAGGGTACTCTTGAATATCAAGTAAAGTTTTTGCATCAGCCATAGTTTCAGAGACAACTTTGCCTACAAGTAGATCTCTTCAATACCTAAACAGAAAATATTTGCAATGTTGTCATTAAAGGCATTGTGATCGCATTGATGAAGGAAATGAAGACCTAGTATCCTTAGCTGTATGGTTATTAAAAAATATTTCAACATCCAAGTACAAGCTGTATTAAAAAAAATACCTTTCAGGGCCTCCATGGTGGCTCAAGGGGTTTAGACGCAACCTATGAAGCTAACTGCAGCCACCGCAGCATGAGTTCAATTCCCAGCCAGGGAGCAACCCACATGGCGCAGCAGACCTCTCCTGTCTCGCCCGCTGCTCCCCTCAACAGTGTATTTCAGTCAGTCTGCCTGTTCTGTTCCCCACTCTGTCTCTGGTGGATCCTCTCGCCCTCCTGCGCATCTGGCCTGTACCCCTGTTCTTGCACAAATAAATAAATCTTTAAAAAAATAACTTTCATTGAGTCTGGTGGTAGAGTCATACCTCATATTCCACATTAGGAAAGATCAGTAAATAAACTGAATTATATCTTAACTTTATAGTAGTAGGGTTTCAGTTTTTCAAAAAGGAGAGGACAAAAAATAAATATTTCCCATGTTGTAACTTTTGTAAGCTTAGAATTTTTTCTAGCACCTCACTCTAATTTTTAAAACTTCTTTTAAAATTTACTTCTTTTTAGAATCAATGTTATGGTGCGCACGATTTAAAGAGTTCGACAGTTACGAAAATAGCAGTCCCGATTTCCAATCTGAATCTTGAAATTTGACTCTTATCTACCAATGGCAGCCTTGTTTTGTGTCTTCTTGATTATTCATTGTTAGGTACATCTAGAGGAAAAAAAGTGTTTAGCTCTCTTTCAGCTTCCCAACACATACACCACAATCACACACAGACACGTAGACACACACACACACACACACACACACATTCTCATTTTTCCTATCTTTCCAACCTAGTCATAGCACTTTTTTTAAATATTTATTTTTTTTAATACAAGAACCAGGGTACAGGCCAGATGCGTGGGAGGGTGAGAGGACTCACCAGAGACAGAGCGGGGAACAGGACAGCCAGACTGATGAAATACACTGTTGAGGGGAGCAGCGGGCGAGACAGGAGAGGTCTGCTGTGCCATGTTGGTTGCTCTGAGGCCGGCGGGGATCGAACCGGCACTTCAGAGGCTGCGGACAGCTTCACAGTACGGCACTCAACTAACTGCCTGTGCCACCAGGGAGGCCCCATAGCACATTTTTGATTAAATATTTGGGGGGACATGATTAGGTAAATGCTATTCACAGATAGCCACACAGTTTTCTATGATTACTTTTCCTTTTCTGTACAATTTTCGTACTTTGCAGTTAATAATGTTCATTTTTAGATATATAAAATTTCTATGTGCCTGTTAAACTGTAAACTCTGACAATTGTCCTACTCTCCTATAAATAAATTCTTAGTCTTTCTTTTTGATAGGATTCTTTTTTGTTTTTAAAGATTTATTTATTTACGCATACAAGAACTGGGGTGTAGGGCCTCCCCTGATGGCGAAGCGGTTGAGCGTTGGGTTGCGAAGCTGCCCGCAGCCTCTGCAGCACTGGTTCTATCCCTGGGCACCGGGGGAGGGTCCCAAATGGCGCGCAGACCCCTCCTGCCGTCCGCTGCTCCCCTCAGCAGTGTATTTCGTCAGTCTGCCTGTTCTGCTCCCCGCTCTGGCTCTGGTGAATCCTCTCACCCTCCCGCGCTTCTGACTGTACCCAGTGCTTGTATAAATAAATAAATAAATAAATAAATAAATAAATAAATAAATCTTTTAAAAAAGAGTAATTAAAAAAAAAGAACTGGGGTGTAAGCCAGGGGTGTAGGGGGTGAGAGAATTCACCAGAGACAGAGTGGGGAGCAGAACAGCAGATCTACTGAAATACACTGCTGAGGGGAGCAGTGTAGGGATCGAACTCGGTGCTGCAGTGGTTGGTGACAGCTTGAGAGCGCTGTGTCTTTAACCCCAGGGCCATGGGGGAGGCCCCCTCTAGTTGTTAGGATTTTCTGGACATCACCATGCAGGAAAGACTGTCTGGAGCCTCTGACCTGGATGCCCTCATGCCTGCTAGACAGTCAGCATTCTGGAGTGTCTCTAGATCATCATCCTGGAGATTTCCCTCTTGACTTTTGATGAATCTCTCATATTAATTTTTTGTGGTTACCATCCATATCCACTCCCCCACTGAGCATAACTTCCAGCAGCTTTCTGAGAAAAAAATTTTGTCACTTTGCATGTACATAATGTCTTTACACTATTCCCCATCCTTGATGTATACATTTGTTAGCTACAGAATTCTTGATTAGAAAACATTTTCTTTCGGGCCTCCCTGGTGGCGCAGCGGTTGAGTGCTGGGTTGCGAAGCTGCCCGCAGCCTCTGCAGCGCTGGTTCAATCCCCGGCCACCGGAGAAGGGTCCTACATGGCGCGCAGACCTCTCCTGCCGCCCGCTGCTCCCCTCAGCAGGGTATTTTATCAGTCTGCCTGTTCTGTACCCTGCTCTGGCTCTGGTGAATCCTCTCACCCTCCTGCGCTTCTTACTGTACCCAGTGCCTGTATAAATAATAAATAAATAAATCTTAAAAAAAAAAAAAAGAAAACATTTCTTTCACAATTTAGAAGGAATCATTCCACCGCCTTCTAGCTTTCAGAGTTACTGTTTAAGTTCATACACACTCCAATCTTGATATTTTCTACGTGACTGATATTTCTCTCTCTCCTTAAAGCTATTTGACCCTAGTTTTTGAAACTTCATAATTCTTTGCCGTAGTTGTCATCTATTTTCATGCATTTGGCTGAGTTCTTTTAAACTAGAAGCTCAACTGGAGTCTTTTCTTAGATTCTCAGCATCCAACTAAAAGATACAGAGAAGGAAGGGATCTTATGGGAGGTTTAGGGGCCAGGTAGGCCTACTAGGCCTGTCCATATTCCATCTGCCAGGGCTAAATCACATATTCCAACTTAACTGCAGGGGAGACTGGGAAACGTGGTTTATCTGATTGCTCAGTGGGAAAAAGAAAAAGGTTTGGTGGACAGATGACATTATGTTTGACACCTCCAGCACATGAAGTTTACATCAAATGCTTTCGCCATTAAATTGGACACTAAACTGATCAAACATTCCATCTTAAAGAAGTATTTGTTTATACAAACATTCCTATATTAAACTGCAAAAATTATTCCCCCATCTTTACTATCCTTTAATTCTGGAAAAATTTTTGAATTATTCAGATGCTTCTCTTTTTGTTCTGCTTCTCTTGCTGGGGCTCCTTTTATTTGGCTGTAGAGCCTTTTGTCTGGTATTGTATACTTCTCATATTTCTTCCATTTTCCATCTCTTTAAATTTTTTTGCCATATATTCTATGGGGCTGCCTTCATTTTTATCTCTCTCTCTTTGCAATTGCTATTTTTTCTCCTCTGATATTTAGTCTTTAATTTTCAAGAGTTCCTTTTTGTTCTCTGGTGTTCTTTTTATATTATTTTGTTCTTATTTCATGGACAGAATGGCTATATTCTTTTATTTACCTGCGTCATCTATGACAAGTTTTTTCTGTTAGTTTATCCTGTTCGCAACCTTTCAAACTAGTGACTTTCCTCAAATGTTTAGCAACTCTTATCTATTCTCATTTAGAGGGGTATCAAAAGCTGTCATGGTTCAAGTGGGACTTTTGGACTTACACCCTTCACTATGGGATCGAAGCAGGCTTCATGTGGAAACTTAGATTTTATCTCTGTTTTCTTTGCACAGAGAAGTTTTCCAAGATAAACTTGGTTGTACATAAACATTCCTATATTAAACTGCAAAAATTAAAGGAGCAAGTCCCTCATTTCCTGAGTTCAATGAATCCCTATATTCTCAGTAAGGTACTACCACCACCCTACCCTCCAGTTCAGAGATTCTTTACTCTACCTTCCCTGATATATAAACCCTTAGAGTCTACTGCTGTGGTGAGGGTAGATACGTCCTAGTTTGTTTGTTTTTTGTTTAAGATTTATTTAATTATATTACAAGAACTGGGGTACAGGCCAGATTCGCGGGAGGGTGAGAGGATTCACCAGAGACAGAGTGGGGAACAGAACAGGCAGATCTACTGAAATACACTGCTGAGGGGAGCAGCGGGTGAGACAGCAGAGTTCTGCTGTGCCATGTGGGTATCTCCCTGGCCAGGGATTAAACTCACATGGCAGAGGCTGTGGACAGCTTCACATCACTGCGATCAACCCTTTGTGACACCAGGGAGGCCCAATCCTCCTAGTTTTAACCACACCCTTCTACCTCTTGGAGGTAACTAGTGCTGTTATTTTGAGTGTTGGAGGATTCTATATGCAAAGAGAATTGTTCATTACATTTCCACATTGCCAGCTTAGAATTTAGCTTTCTTCAGTCTACAAAATCAATTCCCACTTAAGCACCTCCTTTCTAGATTTCAAAATATTATTGCTCTCGTCTACTATCCTCTCCTTACCCTAGTGGTTTATGACTTTTAAAAAAACTCTGCTTTTCTTGTTTTGGTGGGATTTCCAGAGGGAGCACAAAAAGGAGATGCATAGATTCAATATCGTAGCTCTACTTCACAAGTTCGGATTTTCAAATGCTACTCTTACAGATTTGTTTTTGCATGGGAAAATGCACACATTGAATTGAAGAAAAGGGATGTAACTGTAACTATAATCATAGCTATATAATTATATTTCAGATGCCTTATATTACATATATATACTATAATGAAGGATGTAAAAGTAACTCAAACCCATCTGAAAGTATGAGGAAAATGCTATTTTTCAGTGTCAACTTTGCAATATTCAGGACAATATAACACAACAATAATTTTAACATTCCCTTTGAATCATTAGTGAAACTAATGATTTGGTGGGTCAAATTTAATGATTTATCTGTGAGAATAGCACACATCACATAGAAGCAGATATGTCAGGAAAAGCTCCCTTCAGATCAAAATTTGGGCTTCAGTATGCTTAGGATTTAAGAAGACATCTCTCTCAGAATTAGGAACATAAATTCCCTTCTCAGCACACATTTGTTAAGAAATGTATTTTGTGGGGCCTCCCCCGTGGCGCAGCAGGTTGACCACAGCGCTGTGAAGCTGACCACAGCCTCTGCAGTGCGGGTTCAATTCCCCGCCGGCCAGGGAGCTACCCACATGGCGCAACAGACTTCTCCTGTCTCACCCGCTGCTCCCTCATCAGTGTATTTCAGTTGGTTGAGTTCTGCTCCCCGCTCTGTCTCTGGTGAATCCTGTCACCCTCCTGTGCCTCTGGCCTGTACCCCAGCTCTTGTATAAATAAAAAATTAAAAAAAAATCTTTAAAAAAAAAGAAATGCATTTTGCAAGATTTATGTTGGATACAGAAAAGCAAGAGATTTGCAGTTTTCCCATCTACATTTTCATCATGAAAACCTTGGAACCTGAACATGAACCTGCATAAAGCAATTCTCTACTTGAAACAAAAGGGAAGCATAATTTTGTCATAGAGGCAGGGCAACCTGGAATTGTACAGCTCTCTCCCTCTCACACACACACGAAATAAAGTAACATTGCTAATTGAAGTTAATCACTTCTACTGCCTATTCTGCTCCCCAGTCTGTCTCTGGTGAATCCTCTCACCCCCCGCATCTCTGGCCTGTACCCCAGTTCTTGCATGCATAAATAAATAAATCTTTAAAAAAATCACTAATGCACAACACTGCTTTGGAGTCATTTTAAACACAAACTCAGAAAGGTCACTCACTGCCGGCCACATTACTCCCAGTTCCCTTTCGTTCCTGAGCCCCGTTGCAGGGCGCGGATCGCTGGGCTGCCCAAGCTTGCAGGGCGCCCCATTCCAGCTCCCTGTTGCAAGCTCCTACCTGGCAAATCGTGCCGCTTCTCACGCGCACCCCTCTCTTTGCGCGGGACGGCCTACCTGGAGCGCTGCACGCCGCTGGTTCTGGGGCCGCCCCGGATTATCCCGGCCGGGACCAGGCGCCCCGCCTCCGCCCCGCGCCCCGCCTCCGCAGCCCGTCCCCGCGCCCCGCCTGATTCCCAGGCCCGCCTCCGCCCCAAGCCCCACCCCTCCACAAGCCCCGCCCCTCCCAAGATGGCCCCTCCCCGTGCCCCGCCTGATTCCCAGGCCCCGCCTCCGCCCCAGCCCCACCCCTTCACAAGTCCCGCCCTTCCCGAGCTGGCCCTCCCCTCTCCCTCCTTATTCCCAGGCCCCGCCTCCGCCCGGGCCCCACCCCTCCACAAGCTCCGCCCCTACCCCGAGCTGGTCCTCCCGTACTTAGACCGCCCCCGCGCCCCGCCTTATTCCCAGGCCCCGCCTCCGCCCCAGGCCCCACCCCTCCACAAGCCCCGCCCCTACCCCAGTTAGCCCCTCCCCGTACCTAGACGGCCCCCCCTCGCCCCGCCTTCTTCCCGCGCACCACCTCCGCCCAAGCCCCGTCCCTCCACAAGCCCCGCCCCTTCCCTGAACCGGCCCCTCCCCGTTCCTGGCCCGTCCCCGCGCACCGCCTGCTTTCCGCGCCCGCGCCCCGCCCCCCGCCCCGCCCCCTCGGGCTCCCGCCCCGCGCCCCGCCCCCTCGGGCTCCCGGCACGCGCAGCGGCGGAAATGGCCGGGGCGGGGCGAGCGCCGCGGCGCCGACGAAGGCGGGGCCGCCCACCCCTCCCCCCCCGCGCGGCCCCGCCCACGCGGGTCACGCCGTGACAGGGGCGGAAGCGCCGGGGGTCGGCCGGGCTGCCGTCCTGAGCGCCGCGCGGGGCTCGGAGGCGGCCGGGGCGGCCGGGGGCGGCGCGCACCGCCGCGCGGGCGCTCGGAGGTGGGGGCTCGGCCCGGGGGCGGCGCGGGGGCGGCGGCGGATCCGGGTGACAGCGCCGCACAAAGCCGCCTGGCGGGGCGCGCCCTCTGGGGTGGGCGGCGGCGGTGCCGGGGCGCGGGGACCCTCTGGGGGCGGCGGGGGCGGCGGGGTCCCCTCCGCGGAGGGGCGCTCCTCGGCGGGGGTGTTGCGGTCGCGGGGTTCACCGATTCGTCGCGGAGTTTCGGGGTCCCCTGACCCCCTCCTGTGTTTTTCCCTTTCTGCACAGCGGCGCCTTCCCCCCGAGATCCGTGCACCTTCCCGGCGCAGAGGTGAGCTCCGGGGCTCTGCGCCCCGACTTCGGGGGAAACGAGAAAGCTGCGGGGAGAGCCCAGCGGCCGCAGCTGGGCCCGGGCACGGGGGCTCCCTCCCGGGGGTGTCGGCTCGGCCACCCCGGGGTGGCTGCCGGCCGGGGAGACCCACAGTCGGGGAGCAGGAGCGCCCTGGCGGGTGCGCCCCACCCTGGGAGGCGCCGGCCCCGCCTGCAGGTATTGGGGCCACACTCAGCCCCGAGCCTTGGGGCGCTAGCGGCGGCGCAGCCGGGTTGCTGGGGTGATCCCCCCCCACCCCCGGACTGCGCCCCGGGGGGTTGGGGTGCGGAGAAGGGGGAGCCCATTACCGGAGCTGTTAGTCAACAGCCTGGCAGCTGGCAGGTGTGAAAGGAAGCGCAGGCCCAGCTGTAGAAAGTTGGGGGTGCACTGATCTGGAACGTTGCCAAGCAGAGGCCCAGTGTTCCCCTGTTCTGCTCCACTTGGGGGGATCCCCTCCTCCTCCACCCGTGCAGACACGACTGCGTTTGCTTGGTTTTTTAAGAAATCGATTTTGGTGGAAGGGTGGGAGGCTGCTTTAGGAGGTTCAGAGAAAATTACCATCAATAATAAATTGATTTGGAGGCTGAGAAAGTCCACAATAGACATTCAGGCGACTGGGCTGGATCCATATTTGGGGAAATTTGACCCTTATGGGAGTCATAAGGTGCTCGAAGGGGAGATTCCTGAAGAAGTTTCCAGTAGTTTAGATATTACGCTGATTCCGTTTTATATTTTCATTCTCACTGGGAGTTCTTTTCATTAACATTTGAATTAATTCTGTGAATTTTCTTTAAAGTTTTTTTGAATAAGCCACTTAAAAAATCCTGACAATTATCAAAACTAATCTAGACACCCCTATATCCACTTACATACATAGTCCTCTCCACAGAGCCTCCTTTTGTCACATGAAGAGACAACCAAAGTTCTGACTTAAAATTAGGAAGAAATAGCTTATGAAATTGTATTGAACATGAAATAAGTTGATTGTATTCAAAGTCAGGTGTGTTTATTAATTTGAAGAATCAGATGGAAAAACTTGCAGTATGCTAATTTGCTTTAATGACGCTTTGATCAATATTTCTAAGATTATATTTAAAAGCAAAAGAAGTGTAGTCCTTCCAGTGTTATTTAAAATTTTTCTCTATATTTTAGGACCCAAGAACACAGCAAAAGTGAAAACATAGGCATTATGATAAGTGCCAAAAATGGATGAGATTGCATAACTGTTAATTGTATAATTAAAAAGTAAAATGCACTACTTCAAAACCTTCCATCGGTTTTGTCTGTTAGTAAAAGTCATTTAATGATGGCTTTTATAGCTAATGTTTTCGCTCTCCTCTTTAACCATTTCTCTATTATTCTTTATAGCATTAAGGAAAGATTTAGCAGCGTACAGTTGGATTAAAGTGTTCGGTGAAATTTTTAGAGATTATGCTTTCTTTTGGGAATGCTTGCATGTCAAATGTTACATGAATCTGGGTTGATTTATGTCCCTGTATTCTACATTGGATTAAAATATTTTGCTACAGTGCCTGCATACTTTTACATGCAGTCTATACATGTTTACATATGTATTTAGCACCCATGTATAAAATGAGCCACATTTATAGTTTATTTTAAGAATAATCTGGGCAATATGTTATAAGTGAATAAATAAATATTCACTTTCCTTTAGAAAACAGGACTTTTGATTCTTAATGTTTCTTTAAGCATCCTGTTGTTAGGCTAGTCTGAGAATTCATAAAATTTTTCTTGTAGAAAACCAACCCAAGATTCCTGTATTTGATGGTGAGTAGATAGTGTGCCTGAAGTTCATTGGTGGGTTTTAATAAGAAGAAATGAATGGATTTTCTTTTTAAAATTTGTCAAGAGATAAAACTCAGGGACTGCTAAGAAGATGCACTAAGATGGAGAGAGACGTTGACAAAGACTAGGTGTTTTGCTCATTGAATTTTACACACACTAGTGTAATTTATTATTGGTCATTCCTGTGATGTGTTTCTTATTTTTGTTTTTTGAAATGTCCGTGCTTCTAATGGATAACTTTTCTGGAGTACTTATAATCTGCCAAGCCTGGTGATTTCATTCCTCACATCATTGTTCTTTGCCCATTTTGCTGTGCCTACTTTGTAGATGAGAACGCTGAGGCTGAGAGAAGTCACTTGAAAGTCATGGTTTTCCTCTCAGGCTGTCTAACTGCAGAACATACACTTTCACCTTCTAAATTACATGACTTTGGGCCTCCCCGGTGGCGCAGCGGTTGAGCACTGGGTTGCGAGGCTGCCCGCAGCCTCTGCGGCGCTGGTTCGATCCCCGGCTGCTCCCCGGCCACCGGAGGAGGGTCCCACATGGCGCGCAGACCTCTCCTGCCGCCCGCTGCTCCCCTCAGCAGTGTACTTCGGTCCTTCTGCCTGCTCTGCTCCCCGCTCTGGCTCTGGTGAATTCTCTCACCCTCCCGCGCCTCTGACTGTACACAGTGCATGTATAAACAAAAACAAACAAACAAATAAATAAAAACATGCCTCTATTAAAAAAATAAATAAAATGGTAAAGGGCAGGATAGGTTTAAAAAAAATAAAAAATAAAATAAATTACATGACTTTGCTGCAGCGTGTTGACAGTATTGCTAATATTTAATGGTTTGATTTTTTTTTTCCCCTTTTTTTCCGCAGATCTTTCAAAACAATGGCAACCCCACGGGGAAGGACAAAGAAAAAAGCATTGTTTGATCATTCTCCTGATAGCCTTCCTTTGAGGAGCTCCGGTAGGCAGGTATATTCCTTTATTTATTCAACACAACTTTTTGGAACACACAGACTGATGATGAGTGGGACAAAAAGATCCTGTTCTAGCCCTGAAGAGGCTGCAGCCTAGTGCAGATGATCAGGCCTGGCTAGTCAGTCACACTATAGTGTGATAAAATGATGGAAGAGGCGTGTAGCCTAGTTCAGGCATTCAGGCCTGGATAGTCAGTCACACTATAGTGTAATAGAGTAATGGAATATAGAAAAAAATTGTCTGGCATATGTTATCACAAAGCAAGGGGAATAAAATATGAATCAGTAATAGTATGTGAATCAAAGAATCACAGCTGTGTGCCAGCTTCTAGAATGTGAGCTGAGGCAGGATCATGCCTGGCTTGGTATCATTCATAGGACTCTAGATGTCTCGTTATAGTTGGTTGGCTGCTGTTAGCAGGTTTCTTGCTGCCATTTTTTTTGTAGAACTTTTTTAAAGAAAAATATTAAATGATATAATTCATTTCCTAGAATTTTTCTGTTTTTTTTTTTTAATCTGCACATACCTGCTCTAAGGAAAAATAATTTGAGAGTGGATTTTCTTTTCACTAATATTGCTTTTTCCTAAGAAAGGCTCACATGCATATCACTTCTCTACTTAGAGAGCTATAGTCCTTGATTTCTAGCAAGGTAGTAAATTCTTTGCACACTAAGTTTAAAGGAAATTGCTATATCATCAGCCCCCACCCCCTGACAGGGCATTGTTGACCTTCACTTTTAGAATCCCCCTAACATGGAAGGCGTTTCAGTAGCAAACCTTCCACCATCTTTGCCCTAGGCCATTCTGGTGAGATCTTAACCTCAGCTGCTTCTTCCCCAGGCGAAGAAAAAAGCAACGGAGACAACCGATGAGGATGAAGATGGCGGGTCAGAGAAGAAGTACAGAAAATGTGAAAAGGCGGGCTGCACAGCAGCCTGTCCCGTGTGCTTTGCCAGCGCTTCTGAAAGGTCTGTTTAGCTGGCATGGTTGGGCTCACATTCCTGCCTGTGGACCTGTTCTTTGTAGGATCACCTTCC